TAATAAAATTAAACTCTGGAAGGTCGACATAAGGTTTAGTTTGATTAGACATCGTTCAGATCAAAATTATAATACCAAAATTATGAAGATAGAAAGAATATGAAATTTATTATTATTTCTTCAAGTACTACTACTAAGCAGTAGTAACAGCAATAATTATATCATTACAATATTTCTAAAGTAATTCTAATTTCATGAAAGTATTATTGCTTACCTTCTTCTGTCTCTAAGACAATTCTATTTTCCTTTGTAAGTATAGGTATCGAACTATTTTATAAATAAAAAAATATTATAAGTACGGAAAGGTCCCCAAGGCTATGAACACATAATGAACACTGTTGAATTACGAGAAACGCTAAATATTCAGAAAACTCTGTTGCAAATAATGCGCAAATCCTCTTCATTTAGTCCACAAAATACACAAAGAAATGGACGGACAAATAGAAGGAATAAAAAAATAAAGTATAAATTACAATAACTATATAGAGTAACTTGTACCAGAAACTAAAAGCATATCGTGAAATTAAAATAAAACATTAAATTAATAGTTTAACGAACGTTAATACTGTGTGGTGTCACAGAATAGAGAAACTGAGACCTGTACTAAAACTAAAAATGTCGTCAAAAAAGTATTTTGTATTATCGTGGCGTACAAACTCTTGAGCATTACAATTTCGAACTTGCCTTTGCTATTATCGCTCTATATCAGATATAATTTCGCAATGGTTGTGTGTGGCATATTTGACTCGAACAAACTAGACCTTACCTATGAACTACATATCATTAAATAAATAAAATATTACACCCCCAATTTTTTAGTTATAGCTTCAACACTAAAATATCAAATAATTATGAAATAATAGATATAAAAATGTAGTAATATACCACGCAATAAATTATCGAACATACCTACCCTTAATTTCGAAATGGCACAACGGATGTTGTAAATAAAATTTGTAACGGGATCTCTTGATGATTTATTTACTGTTGCTAAATATTTTCGACGTCGCCGATTTTATATTTACTCCATGCAGTATGGTAGGCATGTGTACCATGGAGTCGTTCTCGTGCCGCCGTGGCGTGCGGTCGCACTTTCCCACACAAAGTGATGAAAAAAATGATTTTGCATAAATAGTTTTGTGCATCGTGTGTACATTTTACTGTATAGTGACGTTATAAGCAGGATATATATGTTAATCATCATCCAAACAGATGAAGGTCATAAAACTGGTGCTACATACACAATCAAAAGCGGTAATTTCCGAAGATGGACGTCAGCGTTGTAAGGACTTTGTAGTCACCTGCTCCCAGACTCCTGCCAAACACCAGGGACGGCTCATGGTCCGCTAGATGGTGGCTCAAGTCGAACTTCTGAATACGAGGTCACTGAGATGTTACTGCTGCTTACTGCCTGTCCATACTGGACGCAGGTGCTCTACAGTGATAGGAGCTACCGCTGCGGATAGGAGGAGCATATGGCTCTTTCTTGTATCGCGGCGGATCGATGCCTCCACTAAGCAGTGCCAACGAGGACTGCGCTACGGCTTGCGCTAGCGAGGATCGTTCTACTTTCTGACGCAACATACACTGAACTAAAGTTGGACGGAAAAATCCTGCCAAGAGTTAAAATTCTTGGGTTCTGTCATTACCGGGGATAATACTCGTAATTACAGCTGACATTAATCAAAGAACAACGTCTAAGAAAAATCAAAGTCAATAAAACAACTCTTAGACCAATTCTAGTATACGGTAGTGAAGCGTAAGCAAAACCTACACACTACTGAAATGCGTGCAACGTGCTTCGTTAGGCAGATGGGGATAAAGTCTGAAACAAGTATGTAAGGGGCAGCTTCGGAGCACCTGTTACCGAAAACCTAAAAGAATATATATTTAAGTGGTAAGGATATATTTTACGCAAACCCTAAAACAGTGTAGTAAAGCCTTTAGCATTTCCATGGCTACAATTAAAGATGGCGAGGGAGGCTACTAACTACCTGGCGGTATAGTAAAATTGTGACGGTCAAATGATAGTACCTACTTATCACTGAAATTCATGGCGCTTCAAGATTAGGAAAGCCATCCCCGCGTAATGGGAAGATGAAGAAGAGAAAAATATACTATAAGTTTAAAGACTGCTTAGAGACGTACATGAGTAAAATTTCTTACATTTGAATGCAGCTTAACAAGCTAAGAAATTACCTAAAAAACATTTTTACAATACATTGTTTGATAAATATTCTAATGATCAAGAAACTGTTAATGCAGTCTAATATTAAGTTGTCTTAGTATTGGACTGCATTAACAGTTTCTTGAGAGAAGTCTGCACTGATAAGAGTCTGCAGTTATTTTGAAAAATTTCACCAAATGTCAGAGATATACAAGTACTAAGGAATTACTAGAAGTAATCCTTAGAATTAAAATAAAAATTAATTTGGACTTTTAGTACTGGTTCATATATTAATTTTTAGTAGCTAACTACTATGAACAAATTGTTAAGTGATTTATTTTCCCAAAGGTTGTTCCACGACGATGTCGAAAGAAGCACTATTCAAACTTTCTCTAACTAGAATTTACACGGTTACACCAAAACCATATTCATAACATTCTCATTATTATTCTCCATATAGGCCAGTCTTTGTTACGCTATACTGATGCCTGTTTGGCAGATCTCATAAAATATCAAGCAACTACATGGAGACATGGTGGCGTTTGTTGATTCCTATTTTAAATGTATCTCCATTACTTATGTATTAACATTACACATCTTACGTCTAATTTCTCACTTAAAAGTTTCAAATGACATTATTGCGATTCTCACTGCATGTTCAGTATTTTAGAACAATAAAGTGTAATAGACACTTTAGTCGAGCTCCTGCGACCTTCAATAATTATAATTGATAGTTATATATCTACTCTTTATATTGTATAAAATCAACCCAATTTACCACGTGTTATTAGTACAATATTTCTCAGGTATAACAAGTTCCTATTATAACATTAATACAATCAACTAGCAAGCGACTAAGTTTCTATTTAAAGAACATACATTACAAGTTTTATATTTTTAGTATATGTATATGAGCAATGTATTAATTTTAATGTCAGTCCTAATTAAGATTTTCAATGAGGTTCAAAATATTTCATATTATTATCAACTATCGTTTTATCAATCATTATATTTATCAATTAAACTTGTATGTAGCATTATTATTGACACTATTTAATCTATAATTTAAAATAAAATGCGATCTATTTCATCTTTCATAGTACTCCTGTAAAAAACTAAGTAAATTAATAAAAATCGAATCTAATCATGAATTAATGACTCAATATTTAGTTACAGATTATACAGAAGGGTTAAAAAAAAGGTTTAATTCCGAAAATTTACTAAAATAATGCTTCCATTCCGAACATCAAAACTCCCGTCACCTTTTGTGACATTTCTATTATCTATCTTTTATCTAAGGTACCATTTGAAAACTGTTAAATATGAACGTACTATACGTATGCAGGGATTTAGTAAATAAATATTGCTAGAAATATAAGAGGACAGAAGTTGCGATATATATGCAGATGTAGATAACAGATATTTTTTTTCATATGATAAGTTGTTTAAAATTAACCTACTGTAATTTTAAACAACTTATCATATAAAAAACGAATGAGATTCTAATTTCGTTAGTATCAAATCCAGAATAGTTAAACTGTTACAGTAATAAAAAATATATATTTACTTCGAGTAAAACCATTATATCTATATGCACTTCGATCGAAAGTCGATTTAAAGTCTCTCATTGTTATAAAAATGTATTTCGTATTAAAAATATTTATTTATGAATGTTGAAATAGATCATAGAAAAAAATTCTCTTTAGAAGATCGGCGGACAGTCGTCATAATTATTAATTATAATTACTTTATAAATATCATCAACTCTACAGAGAAGTTCTATGTATCAAAAGCTACAAACTACTTGTTTAAGATTTTCATGCCCCAGAAGTATAATTGTACATATTACTAATATAATTCGAATAATATTAGTGTATCTGTGCGTTTATTAAGTGTAATTACTGACGAATAACATGCCTTAAACACAATTAAATGTATTATAATGACTCCATCAAAGAACGGCGGCTGTCCAAAATAAATTTACGAAAATACTTCTTACAACCACGTTATTTATTCATTAAATATAGACGTAACTTAGAATTTGTAAATATACAGCAACACTAAAATACATACAATTTAGTACTTATGCGTCAACAACTTTTAATTTATTAACTTTATAATGTGATATTGCATTCCCATTTTGTGGAGACGGTATCCAAGGCACGTATATTTATAACATTAAACGATTTTTTCCCCTTTAAATAATAGAATACTGTAGACATGTCTTTTCAGATCGAATAAGAAATAAAATATGAATAGTTCAAGCTCTTAAAACTACAAAGTAAAAGTAAAGCTAGTAAATAGATTTAACCAAAGCAAACGCAAGTTATAAAAAGTCTTTTCGTACGCTTTCATGAGCAATAAATCTTAAAATTAAATGCGGAAACATTAATCTTATTAGTTCACCCATTACAATAAGTCTAGCGTAAGAAAGACATAACTCAAGTAAATACACAATATCCTAATGTCATAGATTTTATACTATATGCAATTTTAGACCTATATACACTGATACGCAAAGTACATGGCATCAAATGGAGTATTTTGAGGACCAGTTGGTTAACCAACATTTGCTAATTCGAATCATATCATAGTGAAATTTACATATACATACAATATAATATAATATCCAGTATTAAATAAGTTCGTTGTATTAATAACCGAATTGTCTCACCAAGTAGAGAATTGACATTGACACTTATCCTCTTAGGAAGAACACAGATATATCAAGCGGAGACGACTATACTTTCCTCTGTCAAACGCTTAATATCATGTTATGACCTATGTCTGTGCCTACATAAAATACAACATAATAAAATAGAACTAGTTAAATATATTTACCTTAACTGGCCATAACATCAAATAACAGACTCGACTGCCAAGCAGTTCGCATTACACCTTTGTAAAGTGAGTGCATAATTATTTCAGATCATACAGTTCCGAATGAGATTCAATGTACCTTTGAGTGATGATCCTACCAGAGTCCACGACGGGCGTGAGTACTTCTTCAGAAGGAACTTGGATTCTGATCCGGTTATCGGATGGGAGATTGTTTGCTCCATTGCTAGTGTAAAATCCTAGAGACATTGCCTTGTGATGGTCCTCTGCCTTGTATTTGGAGGGGCTGATTGGATGCAAATGCGATGGACTAGCTGCCAGTGGGTTGTAAGTGACGTGAATGCGGACCACATCATCGGACAACGGCGATATCGAGGGCGGGTGAGGAGTCGCTCGCGGGGTCGAGTGGGTCGTCGATGGCGCTCTTTGTATGCTTAACGCACATATACCCGATCTGAAAAGTAATAAATTAAAACAGTCACTTAAAGAAACATATTTGTAAACTAAATAAAAACGATTGACAAACTCATATTGGATATCTCCGAGTGCTGCGAACTAAGTCATCAAAGAATTAGATGTAATAAAATTGTAATGTATACCTATATATATATTTACCAAAGAACCGACGTTGAGTTTGCAGCACTGGAGAAGTAAATCGATAAGATCGCTCAAACTGAAGCGAATCCTGCAAGTAGTACCGTGATAATGGCAGAATTTACTAGTTTAGAATTTTAATACATTACTTTTATAATACTAGTTATTAGAAGGATTTGCTTCAGATTCAAAGAAGCCTCTATTCTACAATATATTAGCAAGGAAATTAACAAAAATCAATTGTATAGTTTTTTCAAATAAACTCTTCTGATTTAACCTAGCACAACATTCTGCGTCAAATAGATATTTGCTAAAACAGATTATATTTATTTCTAGATTATTACAATCTTACGCAGGCAGTAACAATTTAAAAATAAATTAAGAATTATTTAGCATTTAACTCAAAGAATGGTGTTGAAATTTCATTGCAATAATTATTAATCTTATGATCAGCGAAGAGGAGATAATGTATTAAAATGCTACTTATAAAGTCGATTCCGCGAAGCTGTAGCTGACTTATAGTATATAATTATAAGAGTAGCGTAGTGTACATAATCTAGTATAGCTCACCGGGAAGACTTCCCAGGAGTTATGAATGGTGTCAGCCTGCAAAATTTCAACTCTTTGAAAATATTGAATTATACGCCTATATATACAACCTACAATATTTATTACTAAGAACGAAATTGCAGCAGTTATCACTCTGACACCTTATTTAATTTTAAACTAAAACTGTGACTATATTAAATTAAATATAATACAAAATAGATACATTTGGATTACTGAGTAACAATAACATTACACATTATACACATGTACTCTTTTTTATATTCAGCCGTTTTAATTACATATACGTAAAGCACAGTTTAAATATTTAGCCCAATATTTCACCTTAAAACTCATGCAACCAAGTCTTACATCTACAAAAAAATCTCACCCATCTGACCCTGTGACATCGTCGCTAACGTTGCTGTGAGTGTCATTGGAATTGTCTGGCGCGTGGGACCGCCCGCTCGAGAATACACTAAGGTCCGCGGTACTGGTCACGCTGGTGTCCGCCAACGAACGCCGCGACGAACCCAACGCGGACACCGAGTCGTCGCAGCGTGCCCCGCCGCCCGCTACACCACTGTGCTCTGTTTCATCAAGCACACACCTTTATACACCGCACGCATACATATATCACACTGATTATTTGAGATAAATACATGTTATACCATTTTTACATTAATTGTAATCAATTAATATATAATATATAGGTGATATACAGATATAAACATGCAATACCAAGTAATTACTCAATAGTTACTTACCTTAATAAATTTAACATATATTCACAAGCGAGCAAACTGTGATTGGGCCACTTAACGCACATGCAACTCTAGTGAAACATATCAATAAAAACGATCTCTGCTCAAGCCTGATACAAATCAATAAACTCCACACAAATCATCATGAGGACATATATGTTTATATTATATGGTTACGATTCAAGTAATATTTACAATTTAACAATAATCACTTTTTTAAACCTTTAACAATTTTTTTCTTGATCCCTTTTTTAGTCCGTTTGGCGTTGTTGACTAGGTAATTTTTCATTTCAGGGGTTTTATAGGCATGGTAAGGAACATTATGAGTTTGCGAGTAAATATCCATTGAGGCACAGGAATTATGAAGGGGAATGCCATAGGACATGTTCTCATCTGAAGTAGAAACCAATTATATTATGCTAAATACTAGAATAAAATTCTGTAATTGTGTACAGACCTATAATTTTTTATTTAAATAAATCTGAAAAGATTTGCTGTGTGCTGTTTTAGAAATGTAAGGTACCAGTAAAATATTGTTAGTGAATAAAAAAATATGGAAATGATTTGGAATGAATGTTAAGTTGTTCCAATTATAATCTAAAAGCTACACCGCAACGTTGTGTGTGCTGTGGCTACTTATTCCATTGTAGGTGACATCTAACATCTAGAACGTACCATACACGTCAGTGTTGGATATGTATTTGTAGATATTTATATATTTTGGTGTTCCTCATACCACCACGGGCGGCAATACTAAAAAATAAAATTATAACAATTTTATGCACTATTTTTAGGCATATCATCGTATTATTATGTTCATGTCTATTTATACAAAACGAGGATGCAATTCAATAAGATAATAATTAACAGAATACGGAAAATCATGTTATTTATTATATACTATTATTAATTGTATAGATGTTTTTTTTATTTACGCTTAGTGGCAATTCTTAAAACTAACAAGAAATTAGACAAAATAAATATTACAGAAGTCATTACAAAATTGATTATGAAGGTGGGTTCATGTAATAAAGAAATATCACAATCAAGTGTTGAGCAGAGATTCAATAAAAGCAACATGAATGTTGGTGAATTTTATCTATAAATTAATGGACACGTGCAATTAGTGTTATTTTTAGTTGCAATGATTTCCGACGAGTATGGAATTTGAGTACTATGTCAAGTAAATACACTGACAATATAAAAAGCTATGTACTCTAAACTTTGAAGAGGTAGAACATGTATTATTAACGGAAAATTTATTAACCCACAATGGCAGATGTGTTAATTGATGAAACTTAATATATGTTATTACTAAACTCGGTCAATACATACCAATAAAGTTAAAAATTAGTTTATCCATGATATAATATAGATCCTTATAGGTAGCTAGATTTGTGCATCATTATATATTTCATATTAATTATGACATAAACCCACCGCCATACCACCAACAAAACCATGCTAGTGCACAAATAATATAATACATTCTTAACACTAACATTGCGACAAAGTACTGGTCATGTGGGGAAATCAAAATGACAAGCAAACAGTAGTGTCCTTAGTCAAGGTATATGACACCAAAATAATAATTAGGCAATGAGTTTTTTTAATGATGTCCATACCAGACGAGATGGTGTCTGAGATACCTTACAACACCCCACTTAATGACGGCGATCTGACCTCAATCTTTTGTAAAACTACCTATAAATATAAGTAGTAAATAAAAATGGAATCAAATCGCTGTCATGTAATTCTATTTTACCTGGTATTTATATTAAGATCCATAATCTTACACTAATATTAAAATATTTGAAACAAAGGCCATATTGGTATACCTACTAAAATGCCGGAATATATATATAAATAAATGTCATATATCGATGTATAACATATAAATGGTAGCTACTGCAGAAAATAGTATAATTATATAAAAAATAATAAATAATAAGAATAATGCCTAGCACTAAATATATATAACGAGATATCAAATATTTTCCTTTTGAGTGTATTTATATCACTTATGTGGTTGGATGGTTTTTTGTATTATTTAATGTTATAACCAATCATAATTTTCATCATATTTTTCTGTATACATCTGTAAGGTATATGTTATAAATATGAAAAAATGTTTCGTATCTTTCTCAAATTCAATATTTGTAACTAAACGGATTTAAAAATAATTTAGTTATGATATGAGTACCAAAAATGTAATAAAGATTGTAATCTAATAAAGAGTGGATTGGGTATCAGAATTACGACAATTAATTACGAAAACCCGTTTGAAATACATAGGGCATTACGTATCCACTATTCGACTATTACAGTTGATTCCATATCATATAGATCCAATGTATTTAAATAGATTGTAAAAAATGTCAGTACAATGTGTTATATCACAAATATTGTTAGTAATGTAATTAATTAGAGTTTGGTGTGACTAATAAAAAATGAGGAAAGTACGAATATAAAAATATAAATATTTATACAATATGTCAGTAATCATTTATAATTTTGCTATCATACATAAAAAAAATTACAAACAGCATGTTATCAATAGCAGTGATTATAACAAAGGTCCTAATAGCGGTCATCGTTCTGGTTTAAAGGTCATATACAATTGATATTTTAATGTCACCTTCTCATTGCAAACTGAACAACGTTGTAAAAATAGAAAAATTGTTGTATTTTATGTATCATATCATCGTCCAACACCTACTAAATGTTTTGGATATTACATCATTTTTATACTCTATCAGAATGATAACGTACGAAAACAAAACCACAACAATGAAACAACATTAGGTATCTTAGTTGTTGTGGAATAACATTTTTGATCCATATAAGGGCATAACACATTGTTTCCTTAATTGTGCAAAATACAAAAAAGTGTCTAAGTAGTACCTTTACTAGTAATGTAGTACTAGTACTTTACAGATTTATTAATCAGTTTATTTTGTGATGTAGCAAAATATGAAAGCCTATTTATTACGTGTATTCTAGGGAAATTTTAATGTATATTTTTTTATGTTTACTCATAAAAACAAATATTAACGAAATACAATTTCAAAATGTAGACACATTTCAATATTTAGTTTGATTAGTGACTCCAGACACTAGTATCCCCAGAGATATTAATAATAGAATAGCCATTGACAAAATAAGCATTTCACGATAAAAAACATCTTTTGATACAATATGTCAAAGATTTCTCAGAAACGACTTATAAAGACCTACATCTGGAGTATAGTCTTGTATGTCTGCGAGACGTGGATTTACACGTATCATAGCTCAAAAGAAAAGGACAAACTGGAAGCTTTTGAAATGTGGTGTTGGAGAACGATGGAAAGAAAGAAAAAATAAGAAACTAATAACTACTGCAAAGTGTTAAAGAAAAGAGACAGATCATAAATATTATTGAGAATATACGGGGGAAAATATTGGGGTAGATACGACACGTCGAACATATGAATAATATTATCGAAGGAAAAATTAAAATGGAAAGAGGGGAAGCCGAAAACCACAGCTATATCAAGCAGATTAAGTAGAAAATTTGGAGTTAGTTATGTCATCAACTAAAGAGATGGAAAATGGCAAGAACTCCACTGCCAAGAACGCTTAATCTCTAAAGAACTCTTAAATTTTGAATGAAAGAGCTCATAACTGTCGATTATTTCGGTATTTCCGCAGTGTGTGACGGTCTAGAATACTTTCTATGTTTAAATAATTGAGACCGTCAGAATGACAGAGGGAAAGGATATGTAAGATGTATGGGACAAATTATTCAAGATTGGATCCTCTATCTATCTCTATCCTCGCAGTAATTAATATCAATATACAGTTTTCTGTACTATTTTAGAAACATAAATAACAATGTACTCGCTGCAATTCAGTCTCAATAAGCGCGTAAGTTCTCAATTTTTATTAAAGTTTTATATTTTTTCACTCTTTATTTCAAGATTATTATTATTCAGAAGCAAATTTCACTTTTTTCAGTCAATTTTGAGGTCAACATTTCTACGGTCTTATCATACTCGGGTAATACAATAGAACATATTTATCTAGTGCGTGAGTTATATACAACCGTATCAAGATTTTCATATCTATACCGACTTCTCTCTTGATCTTAGATAAGTAATATAAATTTGATCTAAATTGTACTAAATCTGGAATACTAAACACCTGTAGGTATTAGAAACTCATCAAAAAAACGCATAACAACACACGATGCAGTTTTGTGATAATCAATAATGTTAGTTCATGATTACCTCATTGTTAATTCAGAATCTCTTAAATAGTGCAAGGTCTATCATAAATGGTTTTAATTTTAAATTAAAACTGTTAGAGTTTTTTTTTTAATTTGCATCAAGGAATTTAGAAAATTTACGGGATTGTATTTTGGTCTTTTATCTATGCAAGATATACATTAAAACAAAATTGAGGCAATGAAATAATTAAAACTACTCCTAACGAGTTAGCCCCTTTTATGCTCTTACAGAACACAACAGGCAAGAGTGGTAAAATTTTTAATAAATATTAGATATAATATCTAATATTTATTCAAAATATTTATAAATATAGACAATTTTATTGTTGCATAAAGGCAAATAAATAACAGATTCATTAATCTGTTTTAAAAGTATATCCTTAAAAGTGTCTATCAGTAGTTTTATGTCCAATTATCCGCGCTAAAATTATATATAGATGCAAAAATGTGTATGTCAATCTATCTATTTGTTATCTTTTGATGACTAAACGGCTGAAAGTATTTTAAAGAAATGTAATGTGAAGAGAGATGATGCCATGAGGGCGGACTTAGACTAATAGCTCAAAAAATGTAGAATAAAACAGCCAAAACTCATACTAAAATACGATTTATATAAAGAGGATCTAAACTTAAAATGCTATTTTCTTCTAATATGTATATCATTCAAAGAAAGGAGAGGGCGGTGGTACGTCAACTTTTCAAAATACTAAGTCAATCACTGCACGAAAAAATCGTGACCGTTATAATATTGAAATAATGGGTTATTACATTATTTTATGTATATAGGTGGGATATTAATACAAAAGCGATATTCGTAAAATTAACATTATCAACTAAATTTGTAATAGACACTAATATTATAAACGCGAAATTATGAAAACACTTTTTATTAAAGCCCTGAATAGTCTATCATTGAATTTAATGGGAAGTTAAATTGCATAACTAACATGTTCATAGACTATATTTGCATAATATAAAAGCAGATGAACTCAAGAGTAACAGTCAGTTTATATATGTATTATGATATTTTTAGTGTATTGTATTTAACAATGAACAATGTAGACAGGTCAATACCGCGACCTAATCTATTAATGCACTCAAATCTATGTAGATGGCGAAAGTAAATATAAACACACAAAGAGTGTATTTTTCTGTATAGGTGAACAGCTAGGTCCTGAACCAAACCGTTCGTGTCATCGTATCCCTTTTATGGAATGTTTTAAATAAATCTAAATAACATTTCAATTAAATTGGTTCCATAGTATTTTTATGCACACATATTATTCAAAGGTGAAATTTAATATAATAAATTCGTAGTATTACTCTTTCAAGGCATTAAAGTAATCGTAAATTTTGTGTTTCTAGCTTCTACAGTTAATGTTCTGTATTGAGTTCTTAGCTTACTCTAAATTAGCAACTAATATTATTATATACTTACATAAATTATATTATTGTAAATAAATTAATAGTAACAAATATACACATAAAAATGATGAAAAAAGGATATTACCTACTTAACCATAGCACCACAGACAATACTTGAAAATTACTCTTAAGAGTAATTTGAGTATACTTAATGGAATCTAATTGTTTAAATACTGATCTCCGTATAATTAACTCTATAATAAAATTATTAGTATCATTTACTGAATTATATTATGACCTTGATTTATATATTAATTTTAAATGATAAAGATGGTGCAGTGTTTGAATAAGTATTAACTATGACTATTCATGACGAAGTTTGTACTCGATTACTAACTATAGCAAAAACATAACTAAATCTAAATCTGAATAAAATGAATTAGCGATTTACTAAATATTATTCTATAACAACTATTTTCAGCATTGTTTGACGTTGCCACAAGCCGTCACATGATCTCTATTTAAACTATTCAAAAAGCATGCAGTTTATTACACTAAGGCATAAGTAACAAGAAGGTATGTAAAGATATGAATTGATAACCATATTTATTTTAAACTGATATGAATGAGATCTTACGCTACCTACATGCAATTATTTTTAATTACATCCCAATCACGATGGCACTAATTTTAATGTAAGCGATACAAAACAATGCACTTGTATTATTTTGATAAATATATTTCTGTGTGAGTCATCAATGACTAAACTTCATGTTATTGTAAGAAACATGAGGTAATCAATGTTTTTTTATAATAATTAGTTCATAACAATTTGTCACAGATAGATATACAAAACAAATCAAGGTATATTAATAAGTATAATATGTTAAGACTGAATAATGGTAATAATATTCTATAACTTAAGTAAATATTACAATGCATTGTGGCTGCCATCGTAATTGGATAAGACTATAGATGTGTGACATGATCAGAGCCAAAACTCTCACTAGATATGGTACGCGAGGATGGCGGAGTAGCTTCCAAATTACCTGAAACTGTATCGCTTTGTGATACTCGGAGTTCTTGTAACTCTAACGCTGCTTTTTCACGTCTGTAACAATTATAATATATAAATATCGATAATACATAAACTGGATGACTTTATTCGCCTTACGAAAAAATATGAAAATATAATTAATCAATCAATTATAATAATTATTATAAATTATATATTAATCGAGCGGTGATTACAGTATTCAAACTTATGTTAAAACTAGGTAATGTATATGTTATACTATAATATTTTTTAACAATTAAGGATTTAATACTATACTACTATACTATACCTGTTAAAATTATAATATATTAATCAATATAATAAACTATAACCTAGATAGGGTTTATTTTACCACAGGGTCCTAGTGATGGCTAGAAATTTTCCTCATAAAAACGTGTTTTGGTAAAATAACTATCGCTAATTCCGATATTTTATTGCCTTGAACTGGTGTAAGATTTTGTTTCCTCAGCTCACATTTCCCGATATGCTAAATGACAAAAATCTAATAATCGTATAATGTAAATATATGCATATTAAATTGTATAAATAAAACCAATTTTGCATACCTCAGTATCACAGTAGCCCTAGTTTGTTTCTCAGTGTCAGAGAAGTTTTCCGCACGTTGACCAATTTTTGATTTCTTGTCGGGCTCTATAAATATGCCCAGTGATCTCTTTGGCAGTTCATTAACTGGCGGAGGACCTGGGTAATCAAGCTTCGCCCGCTTTAACTCCTCCATGGATCGTTCCAAATGATTAATTACTATATCATCTTCATACCCAAAATCTTTATGTAATTTAACCTGCGAACAAATAAATAGGAAATTCCACTGTGTTGGTATATGTATGTTTATATTATGCAACAAGGACCTGCTTATTATCCTCATTAATTTATTTGATATTTATTTACTAATTAAATGTGGGACAAAAGGTACACTTGGTATGGAAATTGTCAACCAGTTTACCTCTGGGATTTATAAAAATACCCGAAATACCATTAAATATAATATATTGACAAGTAGAAAAATAACATATATTCATAAAATACACGTACATTTTTCCAATCAGCATATTATATGTATATATCTACAAACATATACATATCACACACAGACTGTATATTTACACTTAAGATAATGGCTATTTGTGTTTGATAAGCATATACATTTTTAAAGTATTTTTATAAAAAGATATGAGAATGTAGAGTTGATATTTGAAAATAATTATTGAATGGATATGTACCTGTATAAAATTAACAATAAGATCCATATCATTCAGTTTCATTATAGCTTTTTTGTGAAGCTTGAGTATCGTGTATGCCATTGCGGTTATAACTCTTTCTCCGTCGAGTAAGTAAATATCCCAAACTCTCAAACATAAACTAAATGGTACTCGTTCAACAAAACACACAAAAAACCATTTCAAGGAGTATAATATTGCGTCAAGGCCAAATTTATCAAAATGATGTTTCAGCTTTGGCATAAACTTTGTGAGTATCTTATCATGGTGTTCCAAGAACCGTGTTAATTTTGGAAAGCCTTCAACGTACAGTCCGTGCATAACATACTTCTTATCAGAGAGGAGTACTACTAAAGCCCAAAAGGCATCTTCCTCATCCATGTACATTAGTAAGACGCCTGCCAATCCCGACATTCCTTGACAGTAGCCTACTTCAGAATTATACATACTATAGGCGCATAATACATTAAATAGGGAACACTGCTTCTCTGAGTATCTTTCTCTGTAAAACTGATGTTCACGAAATTGTCTGTTCACATCTGAATCTATTTGTCTGACATCTGTTGACCAATGTTTCGCTAACTTTAGCATTTCTTGGTATTTCCCAGGATTATCAGATTTTATTCTATTAACGTCCATTAATTTACACCAAACTTTAATTCGCAATGAATTTGGAATGCCTTTGTAAATACGCCTGTGAAGTTTTTCTTTGGTAGCAGGCGTATCCCATGTCCCTAGCATTTTCACCCATTTTTTCTCTCTTTCAACTTCTATATTGATTTTTTGCGGCGCCGTTTTCTGCGGGAGCCGTTCATCGTGAATGAAGCCATATCTGAAAATAGATAATTTTGTCATTATAGAACAATCAGGTTTAGCGAGTATAGATTGGCGATCATAAGATATATGCACTCCAGTGGGGCTTCTATAGTACAGTAATATAAAATCGTTTGCTTTAAATTAACCACAATATGTGTATTATAATGTGGTACTTAATTTTTCTCAATTAATTTTTAATGAAACCACAATTATAATTATATTTAATATATTTTATAAAACATAATTTTCATTACATTAGAATATATTTGCTGTTCAGAAAAGTTAGGGATTGTACGCTATACAAATTGAATCACGTAGTCAGATTAAAATTACAATCTTAATACTATATATTATTAACACCCCTTGGCCTATACCTACAGCAGGAGGCAGCTATAGCTGTCATAAGATTATACCAATTTGGTCTATGGGGCAAAAACCATAACCGTTCTCACACTACCATCCTGAACCAGGCAATCGAGTACGAACCTTTGAATTCCGCTCCATGTAACAGAACTCAAACATATCACTCATTCAACAGGAAATACCAAATAGAAATGAAACAAGAGGAAAGGGACCAATCTGCAGTAAATGAACTACGCATATATACAGATGGCTCCAAAATACAGAACGGTTCAGAAGCTGGAGTACACTTCCTCAACGTGAACATAAACATATACATACTGCGCGGTAAACACAATTCGATTTTCCAATGAGAATGTATTGCCCTAACTGAGGCAGCAATAGCTGTGTGAACAACTTCAACTTTAAATTCATATCGGACAGTGCAGCCGTGCTGAAAGCACTACCAAACAGAAAATCTAACTACAAATTATTATTCGAGTGCCATGAATAAAATATCAATGCACAATGATGTAATTATACAGTGGATAAAAGGGCGCAGTGGATCATATGGTAACGATGCCGTGGACGAGCTGGCGAGAAGAGGATCTCGTATGGCGGTAGCAGGCCACCTCCTGCTTTTACCATTACCCTTCTCACAATTTCGAATCTGGATTCGCCAAAGATCCGCCGAGATACAAAACCAAAGATAGAAACAAACCACTGATTGCAAACAATCAAAAATGGCAATTACAAAAACAAACCATCGATTGACAAACCGCCTACTAAATCTCGATAGGCAAAACCTCAATATAATGATAGGGTCAATAACGGGCCTTAATCGGCTTAAATAAAGACCTGTACACAATAGATGCTACTGACAGTCCTTCCTTTGTCGGGACTGCTTTGAAGCCGAAGAAACGGCTGCTCTGCTAATGCTGGAGTGCGTAGCAGTGGCCGAGATGAGAGGCTAATTGCGGAAAATGAAGTCCAACTTATATTATTATTTTTTGTATTTTTCCTTTCATTCAACATATTAATTTATTATATTAAAATATATATATATACACACTGCTTAAGAAATGATTATTCCAGAAAAATGTTAATCAGTCTATATTGTACTAGGTACGTAGATATGTAATTGATTGAATTTTATGTATTTTAATTTGTGCATGTTATTTTTTGTGTAGGTACATTATTCATTGATAATTATAATCGCATTATGATGATTATTTTCATTTATTTATACATCTATACTCTATACATATAAATAAAATTGGAGTGTCTGTTTATATAACAGTTTTTTACTACATGCATATGAATATAAATACGGTACATACACCAAAATAACATTTTTTACAATGTTTGTCTGTCTGTCTATCTATCTGTTTGTTCCGGCTAATCTAAAAATGGCTGGACCGATTTTGACGGGACTTTTATTGGCAGGTAAAAATCGGCCAATCCCTTGCGGAGGAATGTTATATATAAAATATGTATATCACAGTAAGGGCAATAATCACCATCTAATGGTAACCGATTACTATAACTTGCAGACGCCTGAACAACCAGTATTAATATACTTATAAATAGAATTCATGCAATACCCTTGGCATTACAGCAGTCTGATTTATTATATTCCACATACTGAGTATTACTGCCAAAATTCAGAAATGTAAAATCTTAATAGCATATTAAAATAAGAGGATAAAATTGTCATTATGGAAAAATTGTAAAAAACGTACATACTGGAAGAATTTTCAGTTTGTTTGTTTTTTTTTTCTGGACAATTCACAAAATGGCACCTAGTCTCAAACTAAGTATAGTTTTGTTATGGGTACTGGACAACTGATAGAAATACTTAGGTATATATTTTTTTGTAAATATATACATAATATACATCGAAAACACCCAGACCAATACAAACAATCATACCCATGAATACAAGTTTTTGTGCCGTGCGTGGAGTCGAACTACCGACTATCGTACAAGTACAAGTAAGATTGCATTTCGCGGAATACTATTCAAGCAAGTACACAAATATACAATTTTTACGATAAATATATATATTTAATAAATATGAGTAATACTCATTCTACAACGAGTGTGTAATTGAGCGGGTATGTGTTGAGCTCAATTAAGGTGCCATATTTAACACAACGACTTATTAAGACTGAATCTGAAGTATGCGTGTGAGACATGGACATCAATTCAAAGAGAAAAGGACAAACTGAAAGCTTTTAAAATGTAATGTTGGAGGTGGGTGGAAAGAATTAGCTGGGAAAATAAAATAAGAAATAAAGAAAGAAAAAGGGAGATATATAAGATATAGAATAGAATAAAGGGACAATTGATACGGCACGATGACCTTATGAAAATTATTAGAAGCACAGAGGGCTAGGAGAAAGCACAGTCTCATCAAACAAATTAAAGACAATTGGAGTCGTGTCGTATCAACATATAAAAAGTAAGATGGAGGATCGTGGAAAGTGGCAAGATCACCACCCACAAGAGTATGGGTATTATGATATTATGAATGAATGAATTATTTAACAATTGAGAGGTACCGTATTTTTATTTATATACATGTAGTAAAAAACGGTTATTTTAATATTAAAAACAGACACTCCAATTTTATTTATATATAGATATAGATTTAGCTAGCTATCCGCCCCGGTATCGCACGGGTGTTAAATCTTCCGTTTGGATCACCCCAGCTATTTCTAAAATGAGCATTAAAACTCTTTACGTAGTTTAAAAGATCTAAGCGAACAGAGTGCGGATGCGACTTCATTTTATACTATGATAATATGTTATCGTCCTGGATTATTCGTCGACAAATTGACTAAATTCTCCCCACTACAACTTCCGTTGCTGTTTGCCACATACAAAGTTATATACTCACTCCAATTAAGTGTGTTATTAATAATATATGTCAAACATATATCTACTACATCTTGGTTTAGCATGAAGATATAAATGACCATGTTCAATGAGGTTAAATGGAATTTGACATCTATTGTGACTAGAAATTATGTTCACAAGTTTCGTTTCGCTCGCGTTAAGTACTAAGACTATTTGCAGACTGTTGAAAGTTGATATAGCATCAATCGAGATAGAGACTGTGAGACTATAGCATCATAGTCTCAGTTTTTAACTTTTTAACCAGTTTCTGGGCATAAGTTGTAACTTTATTATATTTTCTCTTTATTATACTTATTCCATAACATATATATATTTAAATTTTTTTGTAAAGCTTAATACAATATATTAGTAAAAATATCGATTTTCACTAATATATTGTATTAAGCTTTACATTAGCATTCACAAATATACATGTACTAACAATATTTTTTGGGTTCTATTATGTTGATAAAGTAAAATAATAGATTTGCTCTATATTTGTCTAATGTATTTTGAGATTATATTGGAATTTTCATTCAAACTAAGGTCAATTCAATTTATTGCAATTTACTTTTGCATGTAAAAAATATATATTAAATATTTAAATATATGTAAAAATATAGGTGTAATTGAGATGGCACGTCACTGGATTTGCCTTATCTCCTAATGCCTATAACACACCACAGAATCTGATTATTACTGGAAGGGCTGATTGCAGGTAGAAAAGATAAAAAATAAATAGTGCTATTACAACTAATACTAAATTGTTATTTTAAAGCCCTAGAATAGATAGGATTAAATCCAGAATCTTATCTTATAACAATGTGCAAGTGCAAACATCATTTAAATATTACATATTATTTTATTAATCTTTATAAGATAATACTAATTATTCCATGTGTTTGCTCCACTGTATGCCAAATTGCTCGACAATTGGTTGAGCAGTTATGGTATCAAGGGGTAAAAAAATTAGACAATGAACAAAATATAGAATTAAATTGTATAAATAATATTTAATTAGATTTTTATTACATTTACAGCAGTTAATGTAATTAATGTACATTAACTGCTGTGAGCAATAGAACACAAACTAGCAACATCATTCAGTAATTTTATTGTTTACCAAGAATGATACCTTATAATTTAATATAGCTTTCTTGGAGTTACTAACTTTATAGTATCAAGAAATTTAAAATAATTTTATTACCAATAAAAGGTATCTTCAATTACTTGGATACTACAATATTACTGAACAATATACTGATAAATATTTCCATTCGCATTGCATGCTCATGCAGGTTGCATTCACATCATACAGACAATAGATTTTTCACAAAAGCTCTACTATTACCACATCTGTTCATAATATTCGACTGATTGCAAGATGGACACAGAAAAGACAAACTAAAGCACTACTTTAAACAAATTAGGTACAGAACATTATAATAGCAATCAGCATGCTTTGCAACAATAGTAATACATTTAATAACTCGCTTTGATTTACTTGAGCACAGCCATGTAAACCAAATGGAATAATGCAATAATGAAAGCCATGCAACTTGGAAAAAAATAATAAAAGAATAAAATTCAATTCAAAGCAGTAGTTTGTGTGAATATGTATGTTCAATTTTATTATTTATTTATAAAAATGTGTGTTCAAACAAAACAACTCTAATCCAAGCTATAATTAGCATTTATGCTAATCATGGATTTATTATATTCAGGTAAATATTTAGAATTGGAAGTGCTTTCTTAATCAAGGAATACTAAATTGTCACAAGGAAGTATAAATGTAAAACTCCTATACCATTAGATAGCATTATAAGCTAAAAATTTGTTGCATATGATAAAGAGTAATTATGTTTATTGTTATTAACTTATTAAGTACTGATTACTATAATAGCAATCAATAATAATTGACAAAAAAAGATAAAAGAAATTAAAAGATAACAGACATACCTCAATACTGAAGTAGTAAGTATATTTTATGGAAATCAAATACATACTGAAATATGTACATATTTAAAAAGAAAAACATGAGCATATATCTGTAGTAGTTTTCTTGTAGTAGTAAGATGTGTGGATATTTTGTAAATATTTAGTCAATAAAATATGAATTACAATATAATATATTGTATAACATTAATCTATTTAGTTTCCAGAAATATAAATATTTACTTTTATCTACTCGCTCTGGCTTCGCCCAGGTGTACATATATTTCATGTACATATAAACATTCCTCTAGGATCACTCTATCTATTAAAACAAATTGCTTGAAAATCCGTTGAGTAGTTTTAAAGATTTATGCATACATAGGAACAGACAGCGATAGGGACTTTATTTTATACTATGTAATGATAATCTTTCAAAATTTTAAGATTTGAGCTTTTATATTCATTTGTATTCATGGGTATGATTGTGTTGGTCTTATTGTTTACTATATATATTGTACATAGAAAAAAATATCTAAGTATTTATATCAGTTATCTAGTATGCATAAAACAAGTTCCGCTAAGCTTGGGACTAGATGGGATTGGGTGAATATCTTGGTTTAATATTCAAGTTTGAGTTTGGTACAGTATACTTTTCACATCTAGTTCTAAATACTTCATAATATTTAATAGTATAAAGTATTTGTCATTGAATATGACATCATGTTCAACAAAACTTGAATACAGATATTGATGGATCAGATTATAAGCAAATTTGTATAATCAGATTATATGTAGTAGTAACAATGTTAATAATTCTACGTATATGTAAAACACTGACAAGAAAAAAATAAGACATTCTTCAGCCAAGTGCAGTTAATTATAAAATCAACAGGAAGCCAGAACTTACCTATCAGTTTTGTGATATTCTTCAAATTCTGGATCTTCCCAGGGATCTATTTGTCCAGCAAGATTTTCTCGTCCCCGTTCATACCTCTGGAAGATTCGCTCCCGCTCCTCCGAAGCCCGTGCCAATAGTGCCTCCTCATTCATAACACAGCCTGATTATGCCACATATCGAAAGACTTACACACAGTATAATTAAATCGAAACTTATATACAAATATACTCTGCGATGCAAACTACAAATAATACCGGTCTATATTCATAGTATATGCTGAATAACACACAGATATTATTTTAGGATGCAATCGACCCATTTTATTTTAGTATTTTTTTTTAAGAAGATAGATGGCAACTCCTTTTATAATTCTGCCAACGTCAAACTATGTTGCCAACCTAACGAAATTATCGTCAAAGAAATTTTTTAGATTCCTACATCAATCGTAGAGCATATATACACATAAAATAATTACCTGAGACGAGACTTATTTGTCTATATGTTATAAGATTATTTTTTCTGTTATTTGTTGCTTCGTTAATGTTTTACTTAAAAAGTAAAGAAGGATGGACTGAATTATTAAGGGTAAGTTGTTAAATATATCATAAACTTATATTAAATATATAGTTAAAGAAAAGTGGAAAAATATCAAGAAAGAATATTTTTTATAAATATGTTATATATATCTACTAAGCTATTATATTGTGGCGAATCTACTGACAGCACTCAGAAAGACTGTAAACTACTTAACATATAATATTGCTGACGATGTTTAAACTGGGTGGTTTGTCGGACTTGTTGTATTTGATTATTTTTTTTGTCACCTTGTTATTATCTTATAGTTCTTTGTATTTATTGTACTTGTTACTATCCGGATTTTATATTTTTTTATTTAATTTAGTAATTGCGTTTTTTATATTGTTAATTTTGGTCAGTGTCATTATATCTTCGTTTATTAGTTATTGTGTGTTATTTACTTGTACACAACTGATTACTTTGCTAACGAGAGATTTTGAAAAAATATAAAGATGCACTTACTGTGTTTATTTATAGAAATGTTATTGTTGTTCTGTGCTATGTCTATGTACTGTGTATATATGTACTACGATGAAGAAATGACCCGCGTGATAAACTAAGATTTTAGCTGAAAATGATAAGGTACGGCAACAAGTTTAATATTCATAATATAATTACTAACAATACAATTAATATAAAGATACAATAGTCAATATACAAATTATTATATACATAGTTCGTAGAAATAGCGTGCCGATAAGTGCAGAGCAACGAACAAATTCATCTATACTGTTCTATTTATTATGTAACCTCTTTTTCTGTCCTGTCTCCTACAGGACAGAAAAAGATTGCCATTACTGGTTATTTCAGACAGTTAAGTAAAGTATAGATGTTTGTTACTCTTTCACGAGAAACCAATGAACAGATTTTGAACTTTACAGTAATATACCATATGCATCAGAATAATACATAGGCTATATTTTATATTTAAATTAACGCGGGTGAAACCGTGGGCACAACTAGTCATAAATGAATGAATTACTTTTTAATCGTTTTATTCAAATTTTTATGTAATTTTCGCTGTCTGTATCATATTAGGATAGGTTGACTGACACTTGCATGAAGTTACAATGATGTCAGTAACTTAAAGAAATTGACATTTTTACGCATTGGTTTCTTTTGCTTGAAATTTGTCCTTTACTTTAGTTTCTCACTTTGAATAGATATATCGTTTGTATTGTTAATTATAAGTTCAAAGTCCCTATTTTAATTTTATACTTAAATAAATTGTAGTTAATTAACATCAAAGTTTAAGATGAATCCCTTAACACAGGTGAGATTAATAGATTATTTTTCAGTATTTGAATTCTATCACAATTGAGGATAAGTAAATATATTAATGTATAACATGTAAAACACGGTCTATAAGATGAAATATTTGACGTAATATTAGTGATGTACCTATGGATTGTTATCGCTATCCTAAAATAACCATTGCACTGCAAGTAGTTACTTGGGTTCAAAAGTCCAAAGTACAATGTCGAATACAGTTTACTGTATTTATTACCGTTCATCATATGCTGTTTAAATAATTCACAAGTAAATCATTATAACGTAATATTTTAAATGTTATATAAATGAGGTAGAAATTGTTGTAGTTAACCCTATATGGTCACTTCCCTTTTAGTTAAACTTATGATTATGGTAATCAGACATTATCATTTCTCTTATATGCATATTTCCTACCATACGGTGTACATGTTATTAGAATTGATATATAGAACCTTTAATAAATTTCCCCTAACTGTATAAGATTCTATTGTTTTTTTATTGAGTTTTAAAGACTAGTTATATTTTTGTAAAATTTTGAAAAATCACAAATTTGTGAGGTTATTCAGAAAGAATTTAGAATAAATTAAGAAGTTGAAACATGTATTATTGGTATTAGACATACTAGCCTATATACATTGTCAGTACACACAGTTTTTTCTGTAATCAATAAATTTTTAGGTAGTTATGAAATTACAATGGATATGGATAGCACTGTGGGAAATTGTTTACCACATTGTCTCTTCGTTAGTGATTTCATATGAATGAACTGTAATTTAATTTATATAAAAATTACACTACATAAAAAGGAAACCATTTGAAAGGCATTTTTTATATTAACAAATAATATTAAATAGTCTGTTGTGTAATCTCAGAGACTAAATTGACAGGTTATCATGTCAATTTATCAAATAACATCACAAACTGCATCAAGTTATGCTATTGCTAGTAGTATATACACTTTTTTTTACATAAAAAAAGTGTATATACTACTAGCAATGGGCAAATTAATTGTAGCTAAATTACTTTTCTTACAGTATATAAAATACAACTGTACAAATCTTTCATTTGTCACCTCACGTGTGATAAACTGATTGGTTTATTATATATTAAATGTAATTATTAAATTTGAAATAATCTATCTAGTTCTACTGAATATATAACAGACATGTGAATCAATGTAAAATAAGTTTGATCATTTTTAACAATTTAATGAATAAATCTGTTGTAATTCTTAGAAAACTACTTCATAGTTAATGTTTTAATAGGCCTATTTATTATAATAACCACATGCCACATTGTAGTACCGAAGTACAATGCGGCAGCTAGTCGAATTATATAATCAAATCGAGTTGCAAATTTAATGATCTTGTAGTCAAAACATAATAAAGACATTACAATTATATGAATAGATTTAAATAGAAATATAAATAATCTTTATTCAAATAAACTAAATATAAGCACTTTTGAATAGTCATATTTTTTATTCTACTACTCATTCAGAACGCAGATTCATAACATGTAGAATGAGCAAGAAACTTGTGTGTTGCTCTTTAGAATAGATGTTCTTTTAAGTTTTACTAAAAATTACTGGTTTTAAGTGTACTCATTGTAATATGTGGCACTTTATACTACTCTAATCTAGAGCAAATTTTAGAACAAGTAATTTAAATATATGTAGGAAAGTAAATTCTTTTGATATGTATGAAACTTGCATATTTGATTATTAAAAGAAAAAAATTATATAATGCAGAAAATAAAAGCTGTGTCTTTACAGTACTTTTTTGTTTTATTAAATCTAATAAAGATATAATCTAATAAGACTACCAAATACAGTGTCACAGTGATATTGATTAAACTGTACAGGATTGTCATATTTAGAAATTAAATAAATGGTTCACTATTGAAATATTTAAACTATTTTTAAATGACATGTATGCAATGCAAAAGATACCAGACTATTGATAATTGTACTAAGAATATCAAGGAACATATTGTTATCAACATAATCTTATGATAATAATTCCAGAGTTACAGTTAACATTTTTTAAAACCATACAAATTTCCAGTTATTGTAATAATAACTATGATTGGATTTTACCGATTATACCTCACAGATTTTTGTATTATAATTTTGAAGACAATATTAGGCTTAAATGCTAAGGATGTGTCCAATATTATTATACAAAGTTTTAGTATTAACCACATTATCTCTCTTGTACAATAATACACCACAGTTAGTTTGTATTAATTTCATTTATCTTGACTATTCATTGCACTGAGCCAGAGTATTACCATAAAATATAGGCATTAAAACAGGCATTTGTAATATATTAGAAATGTTAAAATATAATTAATTTAACCATCAACTGTGTGTACTAAAGATGTATATTTATTATGAATGTATTCTATGAATTTAATTACAGCTGGCCCGAGCTACGCGCCCCATATATAAAAAACTGTCGACATCAGCTACATTATCGTCAGCCAAACCTATTCCGACGACAGGATTTTGCTTTGGTATGTCAATTTTTATTAATAATATTTCTTCAGTGTAGCTTCAAGCAAAACTGTCTTTTCTATAATAGAAATGAAAAACAATCTAATGGTCTTGAAAGTAAGCGGTAAACATCACCTATAGACATGAGCACTATGGACATCACATTATAATTGGAGATTGCTTAGCGATAATGCCGCCTTTTGTACTCGTCATTGTTATACATATTTTTATAGTAATTAATATTTTCTGTAACTGGTGCAAAAAAGTGTAAAAATAAAAAAAAAAATATAATGTAACACCCATGATACCACTCATGCGTTGCTAAGCCAGAAGACCAGATGTCATGCCTCTTACCTAGTCCTACAAATAAAACTCAGGTATCCATGCAATAGATTTAAAGTTTATGTATATTGTCATTTAATTGCTATTCCAGTAACATTAATATAATTTATAATAACATGAACGTAACTGACAATACTAAGTCCTATTGATCTTATGGATTTCTGGTCAACAAGCAACTATGTTTTATTATAGAATATATATTATTACATTATTGGACTGTCATTATTGGATTGGATGTATCTAACATATATAATAAATTCATACAAAGTTTTTCGCCACATTCTTATTTATGATATTTGTGGTCTAAGAATTGGTACAAACATAAGGCAACTCTTACATTATTCATCATATTTATTAAGCTCCCACTGAATTGAACTTATTAATTTAGGAGGAATAATAAAAATCAGAAAAGAGATCAGGAATTAATAAACCCTCTATAAAAATGCTACTTATTCTTCCATCAGAATAAAATTTATATTTGATATCATTTCAAATTATATAATTTATATAATTATCGACTTTTATACTCTCAGTGGTCTAACGGTTTAGCACACCGTTTTACTTAGATGGTCACAGGTTTGAAACCTCAACAACCATTTTTATATATAAGCATCATTGTTTTTATGGATCTGAGTGTTTTCCTCTTTCATCAGAATAACATTTATATTTGATTTGAAATATAATTTTATTTTTTATATAATTTCCGACGTTTATAGTCTCAGTGATCTAGCGTTTTAGCACACCGTTTTACTTAGGACGGTCACAAGTTTGAAACCTCAGCAACCATTTTCGTACATAAGCATCATTGTTTTTATGGGCCTGAGTATTTTTCTGTATATATATTATGTATGTATTTACAAAAAAATGCGATAAGTATTTCTATCAGTTCTCTTGTACCTATAACACAAGCTCTGATTAACTAGATGTTGCTATGTGTCCTGTTATTATTATTTTACGATGTTAATTAATAAGACGTTACTGTCTTATTTATTTGTAGTTTTTGCACTGATAGTCATGAACGATAGTAATTAACAACTTGCACAGCTAATGAGATTATGTAATATGTTATGGATTATCAATGAGAAAATCTCTTAAGCATCATTATCTAAATTATAACAACCTTCGATCACAATTTACGGTTTTATTTGTCCATAATAATCTTATCTTTGGAGTCCAGTGACAACTATAAAATGATATAAGTACTGTATCTTATCTTTGGCGAAGTACTGACGTTCTTATTAATCATGGAATTTGGACTAAGACTAAAACATTAATTTAAAATATAGTATTACTACATTAATGGCTTTTTAATCTTTATTGTTTCATAGACGTTCAAGCGGGTAATCCATTGAAATTACAATGATACTATTATACATATCACACGCCGCCATCTATATATTAGTCTCAAACTAATCAGATTTTGAACTGTAATAATGTACTAGATAACTGATAAACATACTTAATATTTTTATAAGTGTATGCTTGTAGTGATATTTATTGTATGAAAAATATTTTTCCATAAAAAAATAGACTGTAACTGTACTTGATACAAATACACAAGTTACGGTATTCACTATCGTAATTTGTACCTGATAAAATTGATAGATATACATGAATAAGTCTGAATAATATATGACACCTGTATAATTTAACTACCTGCACCTTTTTAACGTATTAGAACGCCCTTACAAAACATCAGATCTGGTTAGGTCAAGAGGGTGTCGCAAAATTAAATAACGCTTTCGTCGATGTGTTATGTAAAATGAATTAATCGTGTAAATTATTTGACTTTTATTACCATGGCTCTTTATACCCTAGATTACCACAATTTGATACCGTATAGAGGTTATCTCTGTACTCTGTAATTTCCTTTAAATATTGTTATGTGACTTATTTGAACAATAGATATTAACTAATTTAATACGCTTGAATTTTCAGAGTTGAATGATGAACAGAAAGCACTTCAGGAGCTAGCTAGGAAGTTTACGAGGGAAGAAATCATACCAGTTGCGGCGCAATATGACAAGACTGGTGAATACCCATGGCCCATTCTCAAGAAGGCTTGGGAACTCGGTCTTATGAATGGACACGTTCCCGTACATTGTGGTAATGATATCTATACTAATTTGCGATATGATTAATGCTTATTAACATGTTAGGCCGTATAGACACACAATGACAAATGTTTGCATAAACAAGACTGTGTTATGTTTGTTGATTGTAAGCCCTAACATTAGATAATTAAAGCCTAATAAGGGCGAATAGTGCCCACGAATTTACTTAAGTTATTATGGCAGATTATAGACGATTGAGAGATATATAAAAAATAGCCTGTTGTATTGTCATCAGCATTAAATTATATATAGGACTTTTTTTGTAATAACAAGTCTTATTATTGGATGATAAGCCGTAATTGCGATTTTTCTAATTTATCAATATTTAATTATCATTGCTACAACTAATATAAATGTGTCAGTTTGTTTTAGTTTTGGATTGGAGACAATGTGATAAAGTGCTATATTAGGTTGTTCTACCATTGATTTGTCAATACTTTAAGAGAAATAATACTTTGAGTCTTGTCTAATGCCTGAAAAAAAGGAATTAGCCCAAAGGCTGTGATACCATCGATTGTGATATATGAATATATAATTCGAGTCTTTTACTTAAAATGTATTATAGTATAAATATATACATGAATAATATTAGGATTTGCTTCGTATCATGCGCTAATTGCAAACGTTAATTTCTGGTTAGAGAAGAAGTAAAGTTATAGTAACTCTATTTTTTCTAAACTCTGTTCTCTAAAACGATGTATGAACGATGGATGAGGCACAAATCTTTAGAACACCAAGAGGGTCTATATATTTTGAATACTTAATGATCCATATTGAATAATTAACTTATTCTCAATTATGTATCTTATACAACAAAGTTTAATAATGGAACTCTAGAGAAGCTAGTAAATAAACAGGGTTCAGGATTCTAATTTAACAATCCAGCTTCGACATTTCCTATTATAGCCAGGGAGCGAGAGGCTTCTTTCTTTAATTATTTGCCCCCGGTCGATATATTACAAAAAAAGTTATGAAGTAAACTGCGCTTCCGAAGATATCTTGAAGAATAGCATATTTCAGTTTAGGCTGTAATGTATTATAATCTAAAAAATCGTAGTGAACAGAATAGAATATTATTGTCAACCATAATTTTCAACGATAATCTCGTACCCAAAGTACCCCTTCGATATCCAAGATACAACCATGTCATAATTTACTTAGGTTCTTAATTAAAGTTCTACATGCATAAGTAACTCTCATAACAATATATTGTCTATCACATATAACAAAAAGAAATACAAATAGCTATCATTTCCTATAATTTTCTCTTTCTTTCTCTCATCTTTAGGAATCCATATTTTGTCGGTCACAAAATTCGTTTTATACTGATAATGATAATGATCTTACACAATTACTATAAAATGGATATGTTAGTATTCCGAATATACGTATTTTATAAGGTTTAAATAAAAAAAAATATTACAATTGAAATTGAGGCCCTGAAGTGTCTCTAGTGACTTAATCTGTAAATTTTAAAAAAGCGTATTATGGATTTTATTCTACCGTCTATTAAATAGATATTATTTAATAAAATAAAATAATTATGTATAAATTGTGGATTCGTATCTATTATACAGTAGAACTATCTTACACACCACAGTGATTATTCATATAAAAAAACAGACAGTTAGTAACAATAGTATTGTATTTTCGCTTGAATGGAAGTGATGTATGAAGAATGTGATGACTACAGATGTACATAGATATGCTGGATAACATTGAGAGGCGAGAGAGAGATTACGTCGATAGATATGGTAGTCGATTTTTCGAATGTTTCGCTATATAGGCTCCATACATGCACCGGTCGTTCTGGATATGATGTGAACCTTACTTCATTACTAATTTATTAGAAAGTAATCGTGTCTGTCTGTCGCACTTTTACGCCAAAACTACTAAATCGATTTTAATGAAATTTGGTTCACAGATAGTCTAAACCCTGAGGAAGGACATAGGCTAATTTTTAATACGACAAAAGGGTTGTAAGTAGTTGTGAGGGGAGCTGAAAGGTTGTATGGAAGTATCGTAATTTTTTGAAACTAGTATATTTTTTTATAATCGTTATTGTATAAAAGTTATTAGCTATTTCTGTATGTAGATTATTGTAGATGCTATATTTTTAAATGAGTTTAATTTTTACGTTTTGCTTTTAAAAGAATATTCAAATAGATATTACTCGTAAGTCAGAATAGCATATTATTTATCTTCGCAGACGGATTGAGCCTAGACTGAACTGTTTAACTTTTATAATTGCTACATTATGTTCATATTGTTAATAATAGTTATTAGCCAGAATAGCGTTGTATCTGACTTCGCAGGGGGAATGGGTCTAGGCGTATTCGAAGATGGCATCATTAATGAAGAAATTGCCTACGGCTGTTCCGGGATAATGGTGTCGATTTATATCAACAATGTTGCAGTGAGAACTTCTTTTTAAGCGTACATTCGACTAAAATTTGACAATTCACTATCTATTGCTAAAAACTGCTTTAAAATCGTTTGCGTAGTTTAAAAAATATTTTAAATACATTTTTTACTATGTAAAGATATTCATGTCAAGAATAGTGTTTTTTCTTTTCATTGTTATTAAAATTTACTACTTCCTTTTGTTTTATATACTAAAAAAGTTATGGAATTAGATGAGAAGCTTTACAGAAATATTTATCTATGTACATAATTATAAACTGCTATGCTAAGATCTCTCACCACATGAGTGGATCTACACCCTACTAAGCACGTTCAGTACTGTGGTCATGAACTTGATTTAATCAAAGACTAGCTATATATTTTTTGTGGTAGATTGAGCTTTATTCCCCTTACCGCCTTTTACGATGTTGTTCTGTCTATATTATTATTGTACGTGCAAATCTACGTTAATAAGTCTTATTGCTATATACTGCTTGCATTTTGAAATATATGTTGGTATTTACAATATCAATACATATTTCAAAATGATAGTACTATTTAGAATTTTGCAAGTTTTATGAATGTGAAGGGTATAATCGGTAACAAATTCCATCACCATTTGAATAACTGTTATATGAAGGAAGGAGGATGCGACTTAGATGAATAATATCCTAGAGGATGTGATGACCAAAGATCGATTTTTAGAACGTTTTCTGATGTTGGCATATAACACACACCGTTCGCTCTGTATACAATATAATATAGTATATTTTTATACAATCGTGCCTGAATAATATAGATAATGAGTATATTAAATAAAGAAAAGTTTATCTATATTTGTTTTTAATAAAAATATTCAATTAGATTAGCGTTGTGCCTGACTTCGCAGGGGGATTGGGTCTAGGCGTATTCGAAGGTTGCCTCGTCAGTGAAGAAATTGCCTATGGGTGTTCCGGAATAATGGCAGCGATATATATCACCGAAGTCGGAGTGAGAATTTTCGTTTTGTGCGATCACATTATCAAATACATATTTAAAATTTCACTTTAATAAAGATTGCTATTATAAAATATGACAAGGGAAATGTTTATTGGTAAATTTTGTCCGATCTAAAGCAATCGATTATCAACATTTACGGTTAGATGTATTTTTTTCTTTTTATTACGTAATATAGCTTTTTCTCATTTTGTCTAGAGATGTAAACGTACTTTTTTTACCTTTTTAAATATAAAAAGTATTTACTATCGCCGATGGGATATGTTTTAGGAAATGAAGAAAACAAAATATCGACTATATAATTTATTACTTAAATTGGACGGATTTATGAATCTTAGTATAGACTGAACTATATTGTAGGTACAGTGAAGGTACATAACAATAATTATAATTTATAAATATTATTCATTTCATAATTCAGTATTAAATATAACTATAATATTATTTATTGTAACTGGCTGGGAATTGAAAATGTTTAATACGGTTTAGACATTTATATACTTAAAACACGAAGTTACGAAATAAAAGAACCTACAATTGCATTGTAATTACCCATATGTCGAAATACAACTAACAAACCTTTTATTGTAAGATGAGATAAGAGTGAATGCGTGTGATTTTATTTATATATAAAATGCTGAATAACCATAAGAATGCTATATATTTATGCTGTATATATCTATTATGAAGATAGTATTTCTATTCCATATATCAGTAACTATTTTCAAACGAACAAACTCTATATGCGTATTGGAAATTAAGAATAGAATAGATATGCTATTGGTTTCCGATAAAAAGTGTTATTTCAGGGGGTGTTGGGGATTTTGGAGTGTTCGAAGAATGCCTTGTTGGTGAGGAATATGCCTTTGGGTGTACAGGAATAACTACTGCTATTGGAGGCACGAACCTGGGTGTGAGTTGAAAAGAATGATTCAATGTCAATACTATCCATTGAAGGAAATTTATTTGCTTTTTCGCTTTATCTGCATATATTGCATCTGGAATTGGTTTTCATTTGGGGTTAGCAATATATACTGTTTATGTCTATCAGATTCTTCTTAATTCTTTAATTAACTTATGCCTTGTGTCATATACAATTTATGTAATATTATATTATTCTTCATAGAATAAATTGGCGCCAATTATTACTACGCCAATCTTCTGTTATATTTATAATAAATGTGTATATGGTGGTATTTATATATATCAGTAAAGTATTACTAGTATATTTATATTATTTATCGTTCTGAAAAAAATATAGTTCCGAAATAGCTAATTACAATGACAATGTTTCTTGATACAAGTAAGCGACTAAAATTATTTCAACTGGAATTTATCGTCTTTGTCAAATGCTAGAAGAATACTATATCTTGTCAAAAAATCTTGTATAATTTACATTGCGTCGTCTACTTCTATACTAAGTTGTGTGGCTCTAATAAATGCGAGATAGTATATATTTTGCATACACAGGTTCATGATACATGTTAAACAACACTGGGCGATTACAAACTCACTGATATACTCATGAATGCAATGTTTATATTGTACGGAGATCAACCAAAACATTTTAAATCGCTAGACTACACTAGTCTTCGTTGAGGAGGTCGTCGGGGGAAGAAACTGTTAGTAATGGGAAGTAGTGTCCGCCATTGCTAGCAATGTCAGATGGACCTCTACGTGCTCCCACAAAACGTCGTTATTAATTCATAACAAATCGTCACGATTGGTTGACTGACATAACTTCATTACGCCCATCCTGTAATCCTCCATTGGTGCCCCGCAAGCGTATACATAGAAATATGCTGTCGTTGTATATGTCGAAATGAATAAGGCAAAATAATTACCAATAGGGTCTAATGTAATATCAGGCTAAACAGATCACAGTACTTAGACTTGAATAGTCAGGCGAAAACAAGATAAATTGTTACTATTAATATTACAATTATTTAAAAAAATACACCCTATTTTAATATAAAATACTTTTACACTACATATAATACCGACAATGATCATCACGGACACATGAATTACACACGAACACCCATATTCTTATTTATATATACTTTTACTTTATTCTATGTATGTACTGAATAACCACTTTGTTCTTCTTTTAATTTCAAAAACCGTCTTTAGGAAGCATTTATCGATTTTATAAGGTATATTATTTATTACGTGTGACAATACATTCTGAATTACTTAAGTTCAGTATAATTATTGGATAACAGATAATTTTCAAAAAAGTAAACATAATTATTATATACTCGTATTAAAAACTATATGAACATCGGGAATTAATGATCCTAAAGATTTAATATAATAATCTTTTGTTGTTTATTATAAAAGTTTTGTATCGATCTTAATATTAATATAATAGATATTGATAAATGTATCTCTCATCTTCATTAATGTTAGGGCAATTTTTGTTTGGTAGTAATTGAGGCCATTTTCTAAAACTACCGGATACTATTCTTCGTTTGTATCCCATAGAACTTTCCCAGGAACGGTTGTTAATAAACAACGATAATTAGCTAATAATTTTTATAAAGCATTTGGATGTATTTTGATACATAATTTGCATTCATTATCACTCCTCTTTATACTGTTTTAAATAAAAATGAATTATTTATACCAGTTAGCATGATTGCACTCTAATATTATCCATTTGTCTTGTCTTTCTATGTTTCATAGTAACACTTTCACAGGTGGTATATCATTGGGAGTATTTGAACAATGTTTGGTGGCCGAGGAAGTCGCTTACGGGTGCGCTGGCATTATGACGGCATTGGAAGCTAGTGGTCTTGGAGTGAGTGTTCTGGGTTCTTTCTCTACAGAATTTCATTCTGATTATTATTTTTTCAAATTGTGTATATATATTTTTTCTGTTTTCTTTCTTATATAAACAAATATTTATTTAGTCTTGCTATGATGTGTGCACCAAAATCAATTGTGTTTATTTTAGTACTATACAATTATTATTATTATGTTTACAATTCTTTCAACATATTGATAAAAGTAAAATATAGCCATGTAAATGACCATGCTTAGCTTTTTATTGTAGCGCTAATACAGATAACTAATATTACATTTCCATATTATTAGTATCATTGAAGCTAGCGCTAAATCTGTGATGAATCATTTGAATTAAACAGAAAAACATATATTTTAAAATAAACATCGAACGGTGAAATCATTTAGTACAAACCGGTTATAATGTGTTTAAACTCTAATAGTGAAGTCCCTTTTTTAAAATCAGCGATTAACGTTATCATTAGATACACATATACACTTATATACATTAATATTTTCAGATGAATGTATTTTATACATATTGTTAACATTATTTATATATTAGGATTTAATATACTAGGATTCGTTTTATCAAAGTTACCAGAAAGTAATCAGAAAACACGTAATATAATATATATGTCACATTATGGTTGGTTTTCATCATTCAATATAATGTAAATAGTATTATTTTCGCTTCAAAATAATGTGACAGAAAACAAAGTTGAAACAAATTTTAGTATTGTATTTTTTATTTTATTTAGTTTTATATTGCATGCGGTAAATCAGATTTTAATCAAGAATGGCTTTAGTAATCACAAGGTCCTTACAATGCAAATTATTATAGTTTATAGTTATATAACTTGCGTTTTAAATTAGTTTGACCAACCTTTAATAATACTGTGTATTGTATTATTATATATTTCAGATGATCAATACGGATCAATAAAACTAACTTGTGTATATCATAATATAAGTATCAATATTTGGTGAAGGTAAAAAAAGTTATAACCTACTTATTATTAGCAACGTACCTATTCGTTATAAATATCGGCTGCACAATAGTTTCTGTAATGGTTATTGCTATTGTAGTTTGTTTTGTAGTTAATGAATGAGAAGAAAAAAATACACTCATACAATTTGAAGGCAATAGTAGTTTTGGTTGCACAGTTACATGTCGTTATGTATTGACACTTCATATCATTTAAGAATTATCATTTTATGTCACTCCATAAATGTTTCATATTTCATTCCAGATAGTGTATGAACAATGTCACAACTGTGATATAATTGAGTGTATAACTATGTATATAGACAGTATATACTGCAGAAATAAATAATATTGCACAAGAATATGATATATTACAATAAGAAATATTAAATCAAATATACATTATTATCAAATAAATAGTGGTACTCCTGATTTAAATATCCGTAAACTAGGGTTTAATTAAAGCATCACCTAACTACACTAAATAAAAATAAATTTCTTATAAATAAAATAAAACTGTGCAAGAAAATTGAGTTCACTGGACAAAATATTCTAAGAAAACTTCTATTAAAGTTAAACAGTCGAGTATGTATTGTCTACAGTTTTTAAACTTTATTTTTCCCAAGTTGATTGCGATAAGAAAATTCTGATATAAGCAGCTGTTACGCAGTTGTAATTTTCTTTTTATGACAACAGTTTGATTACTATGCCCATAACCTCTGTTATTATATCATTGCGTATTTTGTTTTTCACATTGTGTACATATTTACAAATGTGGTTTTTGAAATTGTTTACGTCATTTCTCTATAGGTGGTGGGTGGGTCGTATGTTAAATAATTGTTTAGATTTTAAGCAATATTTAAGATATACCTACACCATTTTAAATAATAGATTAGCTATCTTATGTATGCCATCTGCAAAACATACGCCGTTCTTTGACGTAACTCACATGTGATTTTGAGATACTTTGAATTTCAATTATGTCTAGTAGCCATCTTCACATTTGAGAATTACACATGATTAAGGCATCGTACTTAAGCGATGTAATATAGCTATTATCGCTAATATAGATTTAAAAGCTTTTTATATTACTCTTATCTAATTATAATGATGAAGATCCAAATCAACTTCCTAATTTATTTTGAAACCTGTTCAAATGTTCAACGTCAGGTCAATTATAACAATTAAACTCATTCTGTCTACACTGCTGACCATCTCTAATTTATTGCCTGTCTGCAGCGTTGTTGAAGATGTATGTGCAATTATGACTTTTCTCCCTTCTGAAATTCTTGTTTTTTTACTTTATTCTAAGATTGTGGTTTAACTATTAACGACCCTCAAGGAAATGCTTTTCTTCCTCAGTATTCTTTCAGATAATACTAGAGAAGTAATATGCATTAATAGTGTCCACTTAATACCAAATTATGACATTTTTGAAGTTTGTGAGCCAAAATCGTTCATAATTAACTGGGTCCTCCTAAGATTTGCTTACTTCCTCACTTCATTTTTTTTTCTGTTACACCTTTGTTGGTGAAACTTATTTTTATATAAACGTCTGTTTAATGAGATAATAATATTTATTGTGTCACTGCTGGATAATACGTTAAATTACTTACTTTATGCTGAATTGGTGACCTATCCACCTTTGCTGTATATAAGGGTTCCTTCATTTCTTCTATTGTGTTTGTATATTTATTTTTACTCTAATTTAATTATAATCTGTCTGTAATTTGTACATAAGTAGGATTTATCTATCTATCTAAAGTAATAAAGATTATACTAGTGTATACTAATAGCGTTAGTCTCCTGGTAACGTGTTGTATGTTGTACGACTCATCAAAATGAATGCAATCGGCCACCTCTCTTGATCCTGTACATCTACAATTTGATATGTATTCCAGCAAAATTTATAAGACCATCGACATACTCTGATCACTCGCTTTGCAGGTAAGTTCAGCTGTGACCTCATGAAGCTATAATATGGAGAGTCATCATTTGATTGAAGGCCTTGATACTTACGTTATTTTGTTTTTAGTTTGTTAAGAGGATAGAAACAAAGTGCTTGTAATAGTCTCAGAGCGTCTATGGCAGATTTTTCTATTCTACGACCTGCCGTGAAACGATAGACCATACATAAAATCGTGTTAGGTGTATATTTTATTTCGAAGTACTTATTATCTCAATACTCTTAGATATATTATTTGTTTGTGTTTTGTCCTCTTTAATTGTAGTTTGTGACTAGTGGAGCCCGCATCGTCGTGCGCGTTCATGAGTTTAAAAAAAAGGACAATAAGACTATGCAATACTGATTACTAATACGTTACAATATTGAATACAAATCATGAATTACCTCTCTACATACATTCTATACTCTCGGTAACTACAAATTCTTAATAATATTTAATATTAATAGAGAAAAATTTATATAGTCAAGTAGTATTATTGTAATAGTAATTATACAAAATGAATGCCAATTCTGGATGGCAGATAAAATACCAATCTGTCTGGAATGAAGTAAGATACAATAGTTGCATGTGTTCCATTGCAATTAGATGCTTTAATGCTTTGTTCATTTGAATACTAATCTATGATTTTACTAATTTATTACATTTTTTTTTAATTCTGGACACTGGTACAGCTCTTTTGATTTTCCAGCAAGCACCTATAATTCTTGCTGGCAACAAGGAACAACAGAAGAAATATCTCGGCAGATTGATTGATGAACCTCTAGTAGCCGTAAGTTTTTTTAACTGAAATAGTAAATAAGCTATAGGTACTTAAACAATTCTTCGGACATCACGTCGTTATGCCACTCCCTTTGTACTCCTTACACATTAATTAGAATTATCGAAGTGTAATATATATATGTAGTTATAAAGTATATCATATTTAGAAAAATAAATATACTTACGCCTATGTCATTTTGACAAATGATTTAATAATGGATAATGTTCTATTCTCTTGTTGGAAAACAACTTTTATTTATGTACCATATTATTACTACAGGCATATTGTGTGACGGAACCTGGCGCGGGCTCCGACGTCGCAGGGGTTAAGACTAGAGCAGAGAAAAAAGGCGATGAATGGATCCTCAACGGTCAGAAGATGTGGATCACCAACGGTGGTGTTGCCAACTGGTAATTACTTGGAATTATATGTTTATTTGATTTTGGAACTGATCATCATGAATTTTTGTACACATGTTGCTGGAAGTATTAGAATGAACATAGGCTAGTTTTTATTAAAGATAATTATAAAAAAAATGTTTTGTTTATACATCCTGAAAAAAACAATTAATAATATTGGTTTAAATATACAACTACCCGTACTATTAATTGACTAACTTTCCGCGAAGGCATTTTTTTAATATTGTCGTTTTTTTCTTTTTATTCATTTCAGGTACTTCGTCCTTGCTCGCACAAATCCTGATCCTAAGTGCCCACCAAGCAAAGCCTTCACTGGTTTCATCGTCGAGAGGGAGTGGCCCGGCGTTGTTCCTGGACGCAAGGTAAATATATAATAAATAAATAAAAAGCTTTATTTCGCCAATTTTAACAGTTTTATAATTACTGTTTTGAAAAACTCCTGTCTGCAGTCACGAAGTTCTCTCTTATTATAAATAGATACTTTTATTTAGGCAGTATTTTAACGCACACACAAAATACAGTATTCCATTATTACAATATTTATATATTACATACTATTAAATTAAGATAAGTTTAAATGTGAATACAATTAAACATATACAACATAATCCCCATTATTGATAAATGTTGAAAATCTGCTCAATTGCTAAACAAACTATTTTTGAACAGATATAGGGATTTACAAATTTATTACCGAGAACCGTGATCTTTATTATTTCTGCTGAAAAGTAAGTATATCTCTGTAAAGTTGACATGTCCACAACATGTGTACTAGAATTTCTTTTATTATTGGCTAATAACTTCTTATTATTAGTATTATTATCTGTTTGCTGTGAGTATTTAAAGCTAAAAGCATATGGAACATCTTTGAGATGGTGAAGATCTACCTTTACTTTAACATAGATAAAGGTCGTGTAGTTATGTATGAAACGAAACATTATATAGTATATAATAAAACTGCGTATATATGTACAAACCTTATGTATATGTCTAATTGAATATACATGAGAAATTGAATACCTAATCTTCTCATTCTATAAGTCCTTTTACCTATTCTTTAATCTACCCTATTTTGTCTCTTACGTTCATCATCTATATGACTAATATATATTCGTACATCTAGTATTTCTACTAATTCATATAAGTTAATTATTTGTAATTTTGAACAAAGGAACAAAACATGGGCCAGCGTGCCTCGGACACTCGTGGCATCACATTCGAAGATGTTCGCATCCCCAAGGAAAACGTACTTATAGGCGAAGGTGCCGGTTTCAAAATTGCCATGGGTGCATTCGACAAGACTCGTCCTCCGGTAAGATCATAGATATTAATACGTAACAATGATTTTATGAGATTTTGTTATAATAAAAAAATGATATTATATCTACAGTATTACAAATGATATTTTAAGTTTATAGTAGATTATTATGGAAAATATATGTATAATAAATTTACAAAAGTGAAGTGTATATATCAACAATGATATTTATGAATAAAAGATGGCGAAACATTCATTCCTGTGAATTATTTATAACATTTGGTATTTAAATGACAGGTAGGAGCAGGTGCCACAGGACTTGCGAATCGCGCGTTGCATGAAGCTACGAAATACGCTTTGGAGCGCAAAACTTTCGGCGTCCCGATTGCCCAGCATCAGGCAGTCGCCTTCCTCTTAGCTGATATGGCGGTTGGCGTAGAGACTGCCCGGCTCGCGTGGATGAAAGCTGCTTGGCTCGTTGACCATGGTACCGACCATTATTAGACCTTAGATTGTAGCACGCATTTTACTAAGATCATATATACCATACCTACACTCTACCTCTGATCAATTTAACTGAGTTTCGTTGACTTTTTGGTTACGTATAGTACCTATATCATTCCTTAATACCTAGTAATCCCTAACTATGTCATTATTTATTATTTGTTATCATTTATATAAGATGGTTTTTTTGATGAAATAAAATACTATTTCTTTCCACATTTCTTGTTTTGTATTAATGAAATATACAATACATATATACATTAACATATGTTTATACAGGTCAAAGAAACACTGTACTCGCGTCAGTGGCAAAACTGCACGCATCTGAAGTCGCAAATAAGGCAGCTTCAGATGCAGTCCAGATCTTCGGCGGCAACGGATTTAACACAGAGTATCCAGTGGAAAAACTGATGAGAGATGCCAAGATCTACCAGATTTACGAGGGAACCTCTCAGATTCAAAGAGTTATAATTTCAAGAGAGTTATTCTCGGCAGCTAAGCAGACCGCTTAAAAACGGTACTCACTTCTGTATAGTACTGAGAATTTTATATACACATTTACTGTAGCAGATCAATATAATATTATGTCTTGATTATGTTAAGATTGATGTAATTTTTTGAGCAACTGTTTATAATAAGTCCTTGGGTAAAATTAATAATAACGGTTTCGCAATTAATTTGTATTGTTGAATGTAATTTTATGTCTTTGTGTTTATACACACAAATAATAAAATGATTTGTTTTACTTTTTGTTTAATTATAAATATTACTTAGATATCTTTATGTTATGGAATATTGTTTTTGGTATTCTAAATTGTAATGGTAAACAAGCTATTGGCTAATTTGATGGTAACCATCACTAATATATATAAACAACACCATACAATATCTCATCCTCATGTGACGCCCGTTATAGTCCTCATGTATTTCTAAGGAACAAGACCTAAATACCTCATGCCCTAATAGTAGCCCTAGTAGTCTGTAATTGTTGTCATATCTCGCATCGCATACATATTAAGCTGTCGACATAGGCGAGACGGAGGTACCCACGCAGACGCTCATACAAAGTCTACTATATCATGTTACCTTAAGTTTAAAATTATTACCAAACCATTAAATTTGTATTCCATGTCCCATAGTCTACTTACGGATTAAAATAAAAAAATATTTTTTATCGAATAAGATAGTAATATATTTTTAAACCCTAATATTGACTTGAAGGTGCTCTTGTTTAGTACACTAAATGTCAATATAAAAATCTATTAGAATGATCGTTTATTTTTTTACATCCTAGATCTACTCAACAATAGTCATATTACTAACTCTATATATCATTATTATAGATATATATTATGTATCATTATCATAGAATTAATATACACTCATTTTTATATTTGCACAAGAAAACGCGAAAAAAGATACGAGTAATGCCTAAATATATCAATTTCAATAAATATTAGCAACCTAAGTTTAAACATGTTTTTACCTAACGAAAACTTAAAGTTAACTAGTGCAACATGAGAATGTAGGTAAAACGACATTCATGGCTTGTATCTATACTAATATTATAAAGAGATAAAGGATTATGTCTGGTTCTACTGAACCAATTTTAAAAATTCTTTCACTTTTTGGTATATTATCCCGTGGGTTATGATCTATGACCAATAGGAGCGGTGCCAAATGAGGGAGATAATATTAATTTTGAGTGTTACCGCTGTATAAATGGTTCAAGTCACTCAAAACTATGTAATATTTATCTGTACTCAAAATATTTGTAAGACGAATTTGTGCTTCTTTAAAAAATTCCAAAAAGGTATCCATGACAACATTATATGTATCTCTCTCTATTAAGGTTAAGCCACTATAATAAGATTTTTTAAAGTATTCAACTATCTTCTAAAATAATACATTATTTGCGAAGTTGTTTGTTTTTAAAATATGATATTAATCCTTATCTAAATAAATAAGCTGAACAAATATTAGGCCTATGCCAAACCGCGGCGTCTTGCTAGTTATTTATATTATTAGTTAAAAGATACTAATTTTATTTATAATTTGTAACTGATGTCTCGTTTTGTAATTTTTGATAAAGCATAATCAATACAAAAAAAAAATGAACAAGTTTGGAAAAACATTTTTGAGCATAAGGCTTTAAAAAGAAAGTTAGGAGGAGTATATGTATTTTAGGCAGTACCTATTATAAATCAATAACTAAATCAGATCTATATAATTTTACATAATGACCTAAAATTAGATACTCTAATTTAGTCCATCTAGCGTCAATGTATTGCAATAACACAGTTTAGTTCATAAAATGGTGACTAGATGTCACTACGAATGGAAATATGAGGTAAAATGAATATCGGTAATATATTTTTATTTTACGTATTGCTATTATTAATCCAAAAAATAAAGATCTAATAATTTTTTTGTGTTATAATTACATAAAATGCGTGTTCATATTTCTCTTGATATATGTTATGTAGTTTTCTACGTTGTCGATCAGAGGTTTTAATAATTACTGTATAGCGCCCTCTGGTTGGTGAACAATTGACTGTTAAACACCACTTGGATGGCGGCTACCGGAAGCATAACACTTGGTTTAGTATCCCAAAATTGTACATTACTAGGAAAATAACTATGAAGTGTATCTTTTGTACAATTAAAATATTTACTAATTTTAATATTATGTTTTATATATTTTAACCACTAAGAAAAAGTATTTTATTTGCAATCATACCCAATAAAGATTGACCTACTTTCGGAGCCCTTGTGAAAGGATTGTGCAATAGAAACGGTCATTTATTACACAACGCAGCGCATTCATAAGCAACCGTAGTTATTTTGCATCATTTTCATTATTTTTCAATCCAGAAAACTGTTTCTGAAATAAAGACGTGAAAGTACATTTAGATATTTTTTTAACCTTTGCTTCTCTTAGCAATTATTTTAGGGGGGAAAACATATTTTTAAATAAAATATTTATTTATTAATTATGTCCACTGATATAAGTCATAATGTAGTTTTAGTAAAAATTAGGTTAATTTCTTACTGCCCTTTACCGACATATTTCAATGTCAGTCATGAGTACGGTAGGTCTATTGAAACCGAGTTATGTCGGTCGGAATATCAAAGTGTAAGTGAAGTGGCCTAGAGACCTACATTTTGTTTTTAAAACGCAATATCGCTTAAATAAAGCGATTTTTGAGATACAGTTTTTCTATAAAGGACGCAGGTGATATTTTTAAAACTGTGGGGTGGAATAGTAGAATCGCCTCGTTAGATATTCGTGTATAATGCACGAAGACGCTCCAAAAATGAGTGTAGCACAGAGTCTGGTCGCTTCCACGAGCCAGGCAAAGAGCGAGATCGTGACCGAGGTCCAAATGGATTACGATTTGAGTTCCACAGAACCCAAACCTCCGGAGGCTATAGGAATTGACTTAAAAATCGCCTATGTGGATCCTTCGAATGGTATGTACCATTTCCTATTACGTCTCTATTACGATTGTACAGTGATAGAGAATTTGACAATAATTTTATTTTCATTAGATTTTTCAATTTATGCGAAAAATATTTTAATTTAAATACGTAATCAATAAACATGGTAAGTATATAATGTTTATACTAGTTATTTAATTATATTTTAATGTGGTGATGAAATAGCACTTAGAAACATTCAAATTAGAATCTACTAAGACACGACTGGGACATGAGGCCTTAGTGAAAATTATGATATATCATTATTCTAGGAGAGGACAAGTGTTGTATAATAATACCTACACACATTACGTTGTATGCATTGTGGAGGCTACCTGCTCGTACGCTCGGCTGCACGGTGTGGCAACGCCGCATTGGTTTTTTTCGCGCTATCCTGCGATAGAGTTGACTGTGTAAAACAGACTTAGGAGTTAGGTACTGTCTGAATAGTAACAGCTCACGGAACATGTTTCAAGAATAGTTTCGAGGTATAATTAGCTTAACTTCCATCTTGCGGTGAGTGAATGAGTGTGTTCATGTAGTCTTGTGTCGTTTTGTATTCAGTATGTGATGCGACGTCGCATTTTGATTTCATTCGGTGTCAGTAGGGCACGTTTGCTCGTCTGTGGGCTGCTGTAGCCCGATCACGACATCACCCGTTACAGCATATTAAGCAACTGTACGTGAACTCTCTCAACAATGTCTTATTATTTTTTCAGAAACATATTTAACAGATTAAGTATTTTATATTTCCCTATCGACCTATTGCTGTTATTCCTAATGACGCGTTGTTGCGAATGTTCTGGTTATATTTTTGGAAGTAGGGCAAACGATGATTCTGTTTGGAATCTGACAAGTGGGTTGTAGTAATGTATTGGATTATATTGATATTACGGGTACTAAGTCCAGATCCATACAATTTATTAAAATGGAACAAACGTTAAATACCTACCACAAATAGGTGCAGAAAAAAAGTTGGAGTACCCTCGTCTGCGCTTAGGTTGAATTGACTGACATAATCATGATATTTTAAAGATATTAGTCATATCTAAAAGTTCCTAATTGGAAAGAATCAGTAATTTAATGGATAAATAGGATTCAACAGAGAAGCCATTGTCTTACCTTCAATTAACTGTAATTTAATAAATTTACTAAATTTTTTCAAAGAGATACTTATATTGAAATAATTGATATCTTTAATTACTTATTACGTACATTAATTGACTCCCAGTTTTGTGTTACTAAACAACGATAACACGGAAGCAGGATCAAAGCTGTAATGCCACATATTTTCCTAGAATAATAAAGTTTTTGTTTAAAGACCAAACTAAAGCTTTTGATTGTGTAGTAGATTAATATACTGCAAAATAAACAGAATTTCAGATAATAAGGAAAGTCATTAATTTTGATAGAATCGGTCTGAATTCTGATTGGAATGAAAATTGTAATGATCATAATAATGAAAGTACAGTGGATATGGATATACGTCAGGGGTTCATTCTGAACTCTAATAATCCTTATTATTCCCAGTATAGATATAACTGAAAAAATATTTATATATTAATGCATTTATAATAACAGTTTATCAACGAATTAGTTAATTCAATTACCAGCTTATTTTTTAAATTAAACTTTACAGATTAATGTTACTATAGACAATACTAGAAATAGTTAATTGCTTTTTTCGTAAGGATATCATACATCGCATAATTTAAAAGGCAAGTGATGTAAGTAATGTTTCTGAATTGTATTGTCCTCATCTAAACAGAAAGAAAGAGTCAAAACACTATGATACTTGAAATAGGATAGTAAAATATTTTTTGCAATTAGGAATTTTAAATGTTCTCAGTACGTATATTAAGAAGCAATGGTGAGAGTATGTGCCTCACGACTCTCCATACAGTAAATTGTATGAGCAACACGTTTTTGTAAAATGAATATTATTTTTATTATCTACTGATTTTCCCCATAAGACTACACTATGAAGAAATTTAAAATAAACTAAATATCATCGGAAAATAATTCTTTGCCGCATCCATTATACATATATGACAAGAGATAATTTATGTAAACTAGGAACAAAAATGGACCAAGATTAGATTCTTGATGTACACCTAATCGCACAAGTGACCCGTTAGACGTAGCGCTGTTTACCTTTACTTTCTGTACTCTATTAGATAAATAATATTTAATTAAATTTAAAGTGTTGTCTTTGACACCATAAGTTTTTTTTTAAAGAAATAATAACATTACTTTTATCAGTTC